CAGCATTACAGTGCAGAGTAATAGTAGAAGCATCAGTAGCAGTGGGAAAAAGGGTATTAAAAGCGGGAGCATTAGAATGAATCAATAGTAAAACAGAAGTAGTATCGGCTGTCTTTCTGGCGGTAGCAGCAGTTATTGTAGGAGGAGAAGTGTATCAGTTGTTGCACCAGTAGTTAAAGCAGTGGTTCTTGGAATAGTGCATCCAGCAGAAGCAGAAGCAGCAGAATCAGTATCAGTTTTAGCAGTAGTAGAAGTAGATGAAGCGATAGCAGTATAAAAAGCTGCAGTAACACCGAACGTCTGTTATTTCAACTTAATAATCTTTTTCATAGCTCTTGAATGATGTTTCGATTTTTCCACAATTATTTATAGCTGAATGTATTTATTTACATGTAGTCCCATAGTTAATATCAAAATGAACATTCTTCTGATCCTTATTTATATATGGAATACAATTATTTAAAATAAATCCATTCATAGCTTTTATAACAAAGCTTTGTTTAGTTTTAATGTAAGAATAATGATCTTAGTTTAAAATAAAGAGGAGAAATAGAATCTTAGTTGTGTAGCTGTTTGTACTCATTTAAAGCATGAAAGTTTATTTTCAAAAACACAAGAAATGAGTTTTTCTTATTTCTTTTAGACTTTTATTTATATCAAGTTGCGTAAAGTGTAATAATACTGCATATTATTGTGTGTCATGCGCCATTTCTTATGTAACTGTACATGTAGGTCTTAAACTAAAGGCCAGAACTAAAATAATGCTTTGATTATTTAATTTATCATTTTTTATCTACAGTTATACCTTAATGTAAGATATATTTCTATCTTTGGATGATTCTAATAGAGTACACAGTTGTTATATTGGATCATATTAATTTAAGGAACACCAAGAAAGCCCACAGTATCAGTTAATAAAACACCATCAGTAGGAGAGAGTGTAACGTTAACATGTAGTAGTACATCAACAACCACACCCAGTAACCACAGTCTCAGTCTGACATACTCCTGGAAAGTTGACAACACAGACAATCCAGGTGGCGCCAAATATACATACACTCCTAGTAAGAATAAACTTACTGTAAACAACATTGTACAAGAGGATGCAAATAAACAGTTTACATGTTCAGCTACAGAAGATGTCACTGGCGGATATTCATCTAGCAGAAGTGATACTTTCTCATTTGATGTTTATTGTAAGTATATCTTATGTCACTTATATTATACAACAAACAGAAGTGATACATTCTCGTTTGATGTTAATTGTAAGTTTATCTTATGTCACTTATACTATACAACACAATGAAGTGATACATTCTCATTTGATGTTTATTTGTCACTTATATTATACAACAAATAGAAGTGATACATTCTCATTTGATGTTTATTGTCAGTTTATCTTATGTCACTTATATTAATATACAACAAACAGAAGTGATACATTCTCATTTGATATCTATTGTAAGGATATCTTATGTCACTTATACTATACAGCAAACAAACGTGATTCATTATCTACGTAATTCTGAGTTGATGTTTGTTGTAAGTATTTGTTATGGCCATTCTTCTTCTAAACAATAAACAGAATGTTTCATTCACATTAAATGTCTATTATAAGTACATCTTATGTTTATTATACAACAAACAGAAGTGATACATTCTCATTTGATGTTTAATGAAAGTATATCCTATGTCACTTATACTATAAAACAAACAGAAGTGATACATTCTCACTTGATGTCTTTTGTGAGTATATCCTATGTCGCTTTTACTATACAGCAAACAGAAGTGATACATGCTCTTTTTATGTCTATTGTTAGTATATCGTATGTTACTTAAACAATACAAACAAACAGAAAGTGATTCATTCGCATTTGGTATTTAAGTACATTACTTTTCACTTACACCTATACAACAAACAAAGTTATACATTCTATTTGAAGTTTAAACAGTTTGCGATAGAATATTTCATTCATCCATTTGTTTTGCAATCATTGAACCTAGACATTTTGATTTAATTTATATTAGACTTGAGGTAGGATTGTCAATACATTTTCATTCTTGTTACTGGTTCTTATTTGTGCATGGAAGCACACTTGACACTATAATTAAAGAAACGAAATACCCTTGTCAATTTTCTATATTTGTTGTAACAATTCTTTTGTTATTCTTACCGAGAGAAAAGTTTTTGTACATGTTAAGTTTGCGATAGGCCCTTGTTCTTAAACAAATCACAAATATTTATCAAAATAATATTCCAGTTTCATGACTGAAACTTGACAAGGGAACACACATCTGTTTTTTTTGGAATTCTGTCAGATTCTATACTATTTAACTTCGTATATAAGTGCAGCATTGTCGCGACCGTACATGTCACGGACCGAATATGGCACACGTGTGATATATTCGGTTTCGAATATGGCACACTCATCAGCCGAAAAATGCGGGAACAATCGTCATTTTTGAAAATGACCATTGATGGTTTTAGGCATAACTTAACGTTTAAGGAGCAAGTTTTTTATAAATGTGGAGTGAACAGAACGCCATTCATAACAATCTCCTCTCGTGCGCACCAATGTAAAATTATACATCTGGTTTGCAGTGTGAAGGAAATAATTTTTGTAAAATATTCAATAAATCGTTGTTTATCTATGATTATATAACAGATTTTGATTTGATTATTATTTACAGGGGCAAGATCAGGACGTATAAATAATAGTTAAGTTCTATTTATGTTAGTTAACAACGTCATTGTGAAGGTATCAAAAACGTTTGTTGCGCGGTGTGTAATAAATAAAACTCTCCAAGTTTTCATGATATGTTTCTAGGCTTTTAGTCGTGTGGAGAGTTGTCTGCATTTTGCAGCGACACAAGATCGAAACAATTTTTCCTATCCAGACTAAATCAAAGGAAGCATTTAACTCTCATTGCATTGACTTGCCCGACTCGTGACAGAGCGACAATCGTCAAATGTCACTCATTATACATACATAATATCAAAAATAATCCTGTACATATTTTGCAAGACCACTATAACTTTATGATTAAGCGGCAATACTAAAGACCTGACGTGGACTCGGAGACAGACGCTGCTTACGCAAAAGTAGGTTATCACAGGCGAAACTTTATAATATATACCAACCAGACTTCTATACCCACAGGTGTAGGGGTGGACCTAGAAAACAGATATGTGCGTATGTGTAGATCAATGTCTATATATAATGTCCAAAAATTAAGACAAATATTTTGACAAAACAGTCACTGAGTGGACTTAAACTGAAATCATATTACTACTTACGAATCGATGTGTCATTGATGAATGCTGTTCGTTGTTGTTAGTGTATGATAATATGTTGATGAAGGAAGGAGTTAAACGGCGATTGACTATTTGATAGTTACTATAATGTATTCTAATAATGAATGTTGACATATAACGAGTCAGAGAAATAAAACCTAATTGCACATAACGTATGTATGCAAATAACAGCTTCTTATTAGGACTCTAAACTATTAACTAGAAGATGATCTCAGCCAAGCGTTGAATTGATACCTTTCCGGTATCACATGCCATCTGAGTTCGACATCATGGTGCTGAATTGTTTTTACGCATTCTTTAAATGAAGCGGGGTAGGGACTTAAGTTTTAATTTTTTTTCAATAACTATAAGTCAAACATCAGCTCAGTGAACATCAAGTAAGAGAAGTGTCCAATCGTACAACTTAATGAAGTATGAAGTATTAATTATAAAGAGAAATTAAATGTTGTTTATACTAAATTAGCAACGGAATCTCATTGAAAACCCATTCGGACAATATTAATGTATATATTCCCATTCCTAACACATGGGCCTGTGTGAAAATATTCTTTAAGAGATATTTTTGTTTTTCTACGTCAAGCACTGGTGAAAGGAATTCATAAAGCAAGTACACTTTTATTGTGACACTACGCTTTACGCTATGTTCATTTTTGCATAGCATAGTGGGTATAGGTAATTCAGGTTTGTTGCTACATATAAAGTTATTGAGCAAAGGACGCGGAATATCACTATCTTAAACTTAGTAATCTGATTAATTACTAGATAATTTACTATAACTACTGTGTTTTTTATTCAAATAATATTGTAATATTTCTTGTTGTTGTTTGGTATTCCAGAATTAATTTTTGTTTTAGTTCCATAAGTAAATTTCATAGTTGCTTATGATAGTAGAAGATGATAATGTAAAGTCTTTAATTCATAAGCTTAACTTATTATATTTTGTATCAACAAATTACTTTGTATAGATTTTACAGACAAACTAAAGCAGCAAAACAGGAAAACACTTGTTAAGTTAAGCTCTGAGTCTTATTAAACTGGAGAACTCAGAGTGAGCAATCATCGCGCTGAGGAACATACAGATGTTACAGCACAAGAGATCTAATTATGGGGTTGAAATTTTGTGAGGACTGACAATGGCATGTAAAGTATTGCGTGAGTTATTTTTTGGAACTTGGTGTTGAATAGTATGATCAAGTTTGGTTTGGATGAGCATAGCTAAAATGTTTTATTGATTTATGATCGATAATTGTGTCCTTTTCGTGTTATCTTGCCATTTGTATGATTTTTATTATGTTTAACAGATGAAAGACTAAAGTAAGAAGATACAGTGCATTCGGAATAGAGTCCCACCCGCACACCGTCTTAACACTGCGTGGGTTCAGGCAATAAGTAATCAGATCAATAAGTCCAATAAAAATGGTTGTGAGATGTTTTTATTAAATTAATTAGCATCAATGTTGTCGACTAGTTGCATACCTTAGCATTAAAGGACGTGATTTGGGCTATAATGGCTTCGTCCGTTGTGAATAACTGAAATGCGTAGGACTTAAGAAGTATTCATGAGTTCTTATAAATGATCTAGGTTGAACGAAAATATAATTTATTTTGAATATTAAAAATCATAGTATATTTTGATATAAATTTGTTTTCATAACAGTATATACATGTAGATAAACAACTCTTTTATATCTCTCTAGATGTGTGATATGTTATATATATAGGTTACTTTCTATTCTCGCTGATATGTTAATCTATTTTCATTTTTAAACGCACTTAATATGTATAGAAGCGGAACACATAATAGAATGAACATTATTTAATACGCTGACTGAATTTAGATTTGATGAAATGAACCTTGCATTTTAAAGAAATGTTTTTTAATCATAACACCTGGTCGCAGAGGCATGTCAATTTGTTTCCAATCAAGCTTTGAAAAGAGTTATAGAAAAAAGAAAATTGTCCCGTTTGTCATTGTTCAGAGTTTGTGTAAAACCTTTGTATTTGTATTAAACATGTTTTTATAGATTTTGACCATCAGCGCTGGCTTGGCCAGCTATTAGAGTTGTCTTCTGGATGTGATCCCAACGTTGAACGAGGTAAGTGGTATTTTATCATTAAAGCTAGCCAAGAGATTTATTCTTTAAATGAGCTAAATGGAGTTCCTTGCGCCCTGTATGAAGTGAAGATTGGCTAGTTTTAGACCCAAATGCCTGACTTAACCAACCTTGACAATTTATCATGGCCCATCAAAATATAGATATAAGATAACAAGCATAAAGGGAATGTGATAGGAATTCTTCCAAAATGATTTTTAAAGGCTGTATTGTTAAAAGATAATACAAAAAGATAGATATATAGATATAGAGACAAAGGAAAAGTTATTATACGTGAAGTTAATGTCTGAAACCAAAGAATACATTGATATTCTTTCACCAGAAGATAAAGAAAGAAAAACACAATTTAAGTGAAAGACATATCCTTCTGAAGCTTGTGCTGACATATACTTACAGATTGTGGAAACTAGCTCAGATGGTGCAGCTGTATCTACCACAAAACCAAGGTACCATTATTCATGTGGCCCTCGAATGGATTTTTGATGTACTCAATATTGATTAAGTTATCGATAGATATTAAATGGAACAACATTTACTTTGGTAGAATTATATATCTTAGGCGATTCACGGTGTTTTATTCCTTTTAAATTGTGGTATGTTTTTACCGGTATGTTGAATTTAATGCAAAGGGGACTTTTTTTTTACAACAACGGCGGCTTCGTGAGCACTGGATAATAAAATAACATATAGTAAGTTGCAAATATAGAATGTGAAGATTTAGTACATGGTAAGTTCGTGGACTTTTTCTTCTTTGGGTATTGGAACATTATCTCATAGTATTACCACTTGGGAAAGGGAAATGCAGGCGGTTCCATTCATTCACAAACTATAAACATTTGGGGGGCAGGCTTCAATAAATTTAGGGCAGCGTGTTAAACGAGGATAATCTAATTGTAAGCCCGAACACCGAACTGGGCCTCAGCCTTCGGCATATTCTGGCTAAATGTTTACGGATACTGATCGTCATTATCAATTATATAGGCCTTAGTACGTGAAGATTTTTCCTCTAAATACAAAAAGCGTTTATGAAATATGTGAATGTATAGGATTAAATATATATTATCAAGGAAAGGTAATAGCCGGAAGTTTTATTTTATTGTAATGCAATCGGGTGTATATTAAATAGAATATATCTTAATATTTGTACTCTCACTTTATATTTAATTCATTGGTGGCGTCACGGGGTCAGTCTATTACAAAATTAATATTTCGTATATGGTTTTTAACTTCTTTGAATAATACGAAAGCGATGTTTATCTTATAGTGTATTATTATATACAACTAGTACAAATACTTAATACACTCAAAACCACTGTGTTAGGAATAAGAACAGTAACAATGTTTGATATGACTAACAAGTTCTCTACAGGTGACTCGGAAGGAAAAATATTTCTTTTCAAGATATCCAAATGAGTGTCAATATGCGTGACATAAGAGAATAATGTGGAGCAGATTGCTGTCATCAAGAGCCAGGCTGGATGTGGTCATTGGTAGAGCTGGGTGTGGGAGGGAACTGACAATAGTTTCGATCTGGGACCAGAAATTCAATAGTGTATTCTGAGCCAGTCCTTAACCTGGTCATTAACAAAGTCAACCTGAGGTGGAAAATGTACGTGTGCTGCTGAGAAATGATGTAAATTGTACTCAATCAACCACTACAGATTGTTAATTGAAGTTAGATTAAGTTGATATATTTTCATATGTATTGTTTTTTCGTAAATATTAAGCTTCACTATCACCTATTCTATATCATGAATTCCGTGTGCGACATAACCTGTATTATATAATCAGTATAATACCTCCTGAGATATCCATTTTTTAAAAATACGCTATTCAACACAGCAGCCTGCCTTTTTTTCTAGATTCATTGAAAATGGTTTTGTGTGTCGAACAGATGAAAATTTAACTGTAGTATAAGTCACATTATATATCACAGTAAATTATTATATTCGTCACTTAATATAATGTTTAGCAATATTAAGGGCCAAATAAACTCTTATATATAAATGAAATAGGGCGTGGAATCGAGAGACACACATATTAAGTTGAAAACGTTGTTTTTTTAGTCCCTAAGCAAGTTAGGATAACTATATATATTATATATAATATAAATAGATAGCTCTCGATCACTATAATAATGAATATATCTTAAGGACCAACATTATAAGTTTCACGTCATTTTAAGTAGTGTTCTAGTTAGGATTAATAATGGGAATCTCTCAGAATGAGTTTTTCTATTGAGTGTTCAAGTTCTTGGAACTTCAAGCACTATAATATTAAAGTAATTGTATTGTTACAATGGCTACGATAAGTCTTATTTTCTAGATTTTTATTTTAATAATTATTTTTATTCGTCCTGATGTTCGATGAGTTGATGTAACAGACCATATAGATATATAGTGTAAGTTGAAAAAAAAACACATATTGTATAACACGGAGGTTTTGGATTTTCTCCTGATATGTATACGACTTTTTTTTTGCTCTCTCTACACAATCTGGTCAAGCGATAGAGACAGTTAAAAGATGCGACTTTTTCCTTGGGAGTTATCTCATTGAAATATATAGAGTATGTTTGTGAGACATTGTAACTCCGCAACGGTATATGCATTGCATCGAAAATTGAAAGTACTTTGAGAAAATCTTATAATGGATGATCGTTAAGTTATGACAATCATTTTACACCAGTAATCGTGGCCGTAAGGGCGTGCAAGATAAGTGTATGTCAAAAGTGTCTTGTATATTGGAATTTGCTAGTAATGAGTTGTGCTGGATTGGTTCATATTGTTTTTGAACGTATTCACTGGATTTGTAAAATCAAAGTAGAGCAAGTTAATAATGTTGAATTAGAGTATATAAAGGATCATATCTTTCTACAAGAAGTTAAAAGTTTAGGGTATAATTCCATGATAAATCTGAATATTGACTGTAAATAAAATCTATTAGTTAAGTATTATGCGTAATTACAAAATCGTATAGTGTAGGTACTCGGCACATAATCCTTGAGGATATAAAAAAATGATTATAGGCGTGCTTGTTATGGGTGATCAAGACCTGGATTATTTTAAGCCTCAGTGTAGTACACTAGAATAAATTTACGGACTGTTACAATATCTAGACATGCTATCATCTGTACTTTTGTAATAATTCTAATTATTCGAACTTAAAGTGGATTTGAATAGACATGCATTGAAGATAAGATACTGTTATACATGTGTATTAATATGGAGAGGGATATTGTCGAGTTTTTAATATAACGGTAGATGAAACGTTGCCATTCAATATTGGAATAAATCATCTTTATATTATCTAAGAGAAACAATTAGACGTTATAAACTTCTGTTGATATACATATAAGATGTCAATTCTCACCTATAAGTAGAACAATCCGAATATCATATGTAGCACATAAATATTAACAAAATACGAATCATTCAATGTTTTGTTAAACTGCGAGTGCCTAGATCCGCATTTATATAATTAATAACATGTACTATACAAAACATTAATATTCTAGTCCACTGTTCATACGGAACTGTAAATATATGAAGACTCTAGTATGTGAACAGATTAGTGTCTGTTTGCATATGGTGCTCAAAGTTTGATATGTCCCCATCATTTTAATGTTTGTTTTATAGATATGTTATTGACACTGTTATAGAAAAAATGAGGTATTAATTTCACAACAAACGGTGAGCATCGAAGGAGTGTTGATTATTAAGTTAGAAGTTTGAACAAAATACGAATTTTTGTATATTGTTAATTTTCATATATTTGACTTCGTTCTATCTGCTGAGACGATGAACTGTTAGTTACAGACACACGATACAAAGGAATTCAGACGATATTATTTGCAATAATAAGATGCTTTATTGTTTCTGTGTACTTGCATGATATCTTGTGCGAGATTTTCGTTATTCATTGGTTGCAAATGTGTGTATTCTCTGCACATATTATATTAGGCTTCTCAGGAAAATTCTCACAAATTCCTCGGGAAAATTTTTCTCGCATCTGAAGATAACAATAAATGAAATTAAAATAGTTGTTATACACATAATAATTACGGACAATATTTCCACAGAGTATTTGGAGTTATTTATTTTGCTTAGACAATCGCATAAGCCTGGCCTTATTGTAATTGTCACTAGTCGCTAGACTTATATTTATTCACTAAATTAATGCTCTAGGTATGATCTGTTGTTTACAGTTGGTGTCCTGATTCTATAAGAAAATAAATGTAACCAAAATGGAAAGTCCAGTATAGATATCAGTTGAAAGAGGGGAAAAGAACTTAACGATTAGAGAGATGAGCTGAGTGCCTGATCATTTTCCAGCATGGGTTACATATTAAATTGTTGTAATAAATGGTCAGAGAGTACTAGCAATACAGATGTCGCTTGTCTTTGAACGAAATTCAAAAATCATTAGCTTGGAATTTGTAAAACATGACATGCGGCTACTAAAGGGATTGACACTGCAGCTAATAATGAATAGATAGAAGAAAAAGTGAGGATACAATTCGATAGATATATATTCTTTTCTTCTTATTTTATCAGAATTGGTTTAGTTAAATGTTCTCACATCATATGACTCGTAAAACTTTCTATATTAATACATTATTGTGAACTCGGTGTACATAGCTTGTAAAAAAAATGGTAGTTAAAATGCAGATTGGGTCGCCAAACAAAAAATCACATATCAATATCGGGTATGACTTCCACCTTAAGCATAAAAAAGGAATGCAGATTGGCACAAAATATTATCGATGCGGGAAAAATCCGCAAAAAAGTGTAATGTATCTTGATAACACGTTTAATATCTGAATGTTACAATCCATGTGTGTTGATTGCATTCTTATTCTTATACATAAACATTTGTCCATTTTCTATATATGTTTATTTACATACAGAAATGCAAAATGTATGCCACTATAAGGAAACGTATTGAAGATTGTTCATGCAGAACTGGTACCATTGCTTTTGGTT